CGTGTGCAGGAGGAGAGCACAAAGTATGAGAGGCTGTTGTGATGGAAAATTGATATTTTACTGTGTTTACTATTTCACCTTGGATGCTTCATCAGACCAATGTTTCACTGTATGGTTTTTGATAATTTTATTAGGTTGTAGTTAGGTAGAGGTTCCCATGGGAAAGATGCTAATTAGAGAGTTTTCTTATCTAACTGTCCATGATAGGCCTTCATCTCAGGGCAGTTGGTCCTGGATTGCTTCGTAATATAAAGTCATCTGTTTCTTGTATGTCTGTCTGACCCTTTGCAAAGAATAAAACCCTTAAAAGACGTCTGGATTGACTCACTAAAGGACATATTGCCATTACACCGTTTAGGGTGCAACCATTGAAATACAGACACACACACACACCAGCAATGTGCGGACACACACTGAAAACACTGAAATACAGACACACAGGTTCACCAGCCCTGTGAACGAAGAGGTTTTTGGAAATATGAGAAACCAGGTCAATAATGAAAACAATGAGATAATCTTAATCTTATCACATTGTTTAGGCCAAACCAATGTCTAAATGTTAGGCTTCCTTTTCAGTCATTTCAATATAGGAGATCAACTCTGAAATGCAGTTACAACGCTCGTCTGTATGGACGTTTTTAAACAAAAACATTGTAATATGGATGCCTGCTAGCCTAACACTATTAACCTATGTCAGTTCAAGCCAACAAAACCTGGTTTAGGCTACATCCACACTACTACGTTTTTGTTAAAATACAAAGTTTTAAATCAGAAAAAAATCTCTGTCCGCTAGCGTTTTAACTGTGTTTGATCTCCGTCTATATTAAAATGACTAAAAACGCATATCTGGTAGCCTTTCACATACACTGGCGAGCGAATGCCGGTGTACACAGGAAGAAGATTGTCTACTCCACAGTTGCACAGATTTGGCAAAAGAAGAAGGTTCTAATACAGACAAAGAACCAGACCAGAGATTTCTTTGGGCTGACAACAAGGTGGAACTGTTACTGAAAGTAGCATAGGAGTACAAAGCGACTATGGTGGTGGAAAACAGACTGAGAGTTGTCACAAAGCAAATATGGCGACATGCACAGCACAAGTGTTATTTACGGTAAAGTACTACAAAATATTTTAATAAAAATTCCAAAACAGCTTTGCATGACTGAGACCCAATCGGTGAGCATCATCATTTTTTAAGTCCTCCGTTTTCGTCTGTCCACACTAAAACGCTACCATGGAGTTTAAAATGAAAACGGGGTCAGCAGCGTTTCAAAATTTTCCGTTTTAAGTTCGGATTCACCGTTTTAGTCTGGTTGGGATTTGCAAACGTAGCAAAAGATATTTTTAAAAACAAAAACGTTGTAGTGTGTATGTACCCTCTTGCTTTGGGACATAGTTGTCTGGTGTAGTGCTGTCACTATACCAAAATTATGACTTTAATACAATACCTGCCTAACATCTTGATACCGATACTAAAACGGTACCACAGCTAAAATCTCTAACATCAGGAAAAGTAATGGAATAATAAATGACAGAACATAGAATTTAAGATTCACTTCCTGTGTCCCCTTTGTGGCCCTACATAGCACTTGCCACTATGACTAGAAATTAATATTGGCGTGTAGACGTGTTCAGGGCGGGACAGTTATCAAGCACGTAAAGTTTTGTTCAGATGTGAGCATGTACACTGAAGTTACAACAACTTCCTGTGTCATGGCAAAGCATCAAACTTTGACGCCACGCCAAGGACACACCGTTATCCGAAAACTCACAAGATTCACGACATAGCCTCATCAATGTCTTAAGGCTCTTCTGAGACTGTTTTGAAGCAGGTGAGGCAAATATGTTGGAAGTAGTACATAACAGCGTAAAACTTATTGGCATAAGGATGTGTTCAGGGCGGGACTGTCATCCTACATGTAACGTTTGGTGCAGATCTGAGCATGCACACTGAAGTTATAACAACTTCCTGTTTCATGGCGAATCACAGATTTTGGACGCTACGCCCACGGACACGCCCATTGACGAAAACTCACAGATAGCACAACTTTTCATCGTCAATGCCTTTTAGAAGGCACAGCAGAAATTTGAAGTTGATCGGACTAAATCCCTAGGAGGAGTTCATTAAAGTGTGTGTAAATTGCCAAAAATGACAATTAAATCCAAAATGTCTGACTTCCTGTTTGGTTTAGGCAATGGCTCCAAGAGGCTTTTTGTGCGTCTGGACTTGATACACGTACAACAGAAATTTTGTACACGTAGGTGAAACTATGTCCGGGGGCTGCTCTGTAGGGGGCACTAGTGAGCCATTTTGCTACGCCCATGAGCAAAACCCAGAAAATACGAAATTTTTCGCTGGTGAGTGAAATTTTGGTGAGTTGTGTAGTTTTGAGTATGTTTAAGCCCCCAAACTTGAGCTTACTTTGCCGAAAAAAATAAAATTAAATCCCTACAGTTTCAATAGGGACTTTGCACGGTTCGTGCTCGGGCCCTAAAAATGCGCTCAGGAGAGCACAGACCTCCTCTGACGAGGTGTATTGAGTCAACTTTAGTGCACTACTGTAGTGAGCAGGCTAATAATCCCGAGTGTTAACATTACCATTGCCACCACGTGCCTGCAGGAAGGCGGAGCAGCAATAAATCATTATTAAAGTATCGGTACCAATAAAAGACAGTGTTGTATCGTTTTTAAGGGCAGGGTGTTGTCATACCTTTCTAGTATCTGTATATGGTGCAACACTAGTCTGGTGTTTCCTTCCAGTAATGTTTTTCTGGCAACTTGATATTTGATCACACAGCAAAAGCTTCTGAGATTAAGGTTATCAGGTTATCATGATGACCATTGATTACAAGTTAGCTTTTTTCCCCTCCTGCCTGCAATGAGAGAATGCTCTGATTGAAGCAGAGAGGAAGGTGACTGGGTGGAACAGGGGGGTATGTTTGTCCCAGTGACTGCAATTGCACAGGCTTCATGCAGCACCCATCAAGAAGTACAAACTTCCAGTGTTGGGCAAGCTACTTGGAAAATGTAGTGAGCTAAGCTACTAGCTACTCTCCATTAAACGAAGCTACCCCCCAGTGAAATGTAGCAAGCTAAGCTACAGCGACATGGCAAAACTAGCTTAGTTACATGTGTTCCATGCGTGAGAGAGAGAGAGATCTCTCATCTCATGGAAACTTTTTTTGTTTGTTTTGTTTCTGTCACTACAATTCAAAGTTTTCTCCTCACTAGAGGAAGAGGTGTCCAGGCTGGACCCTGATCCTTCTCACAAGAGGTGTTACAATAACTGTCACAATAGAAAGTAAACTCAGTCACGTGTCTTTATTCCCCTGCAGCAAAGTCGCAGACATCAGCCCAAGGATCGGTACGTGATGTCACCGTCACACTGAAGCGCTTCCACTGGCTGCACATACAGGTCCGTGTATGGCGGTAACGTCACTTACTGATCCTTCAGAAATGCTTGGGAAAATGTAGTGTGTGGAAGCTACCTCGCTACTCGGTCAATAAAAGAGCTTTGCTACCGAAAAGCTATTTGATTCAGAAAGCAGTGACACTACCACCAAGCTACTGAGTAACAGTGCTACTTGTAGCGACGCTACTGCCCAACACTGCAAACTTCATCATCACAACCCTCCACAAGTGACCAGACGCTTAGTCATTGGCAAGACCCCAGACCCCAAATCGTGGAAGCCCAGGCTTCTTCATCACAGCCCTTCATGAGTGACCAGAACTCAATTCAATGGCAAAATGATTATGGAACATACATCAACTTCATAAATGAGACATCAGATGTAGATTATGATGATGACCTGTACAGTGCTATCATTGCCAGTATTGAGCATAAAACATAAGTTTTTTGTGCATATGTTAATAACATTTTACTAAATGTAGAACATTAGGCTTTGGCAGAGTGTAAGTTTGACAATAAGTGGAAAATACACTGCAGACCATAAACATTTAGACTGTGATACATTTTTATTCGTTGGGGTCTGTAGTCCAGGAGATTAGATTGGAAATGAAACCATGGCTATGAGTTTTAAGTACCAACTTTGTGCTTGTTTGAATGCATTTACATACATGTTAAATGAACAGACAGAACCACACTTTCTCTTAAAATTAAAGAGCTGTCATAGTTCAGTTACTAAGCTGTCTTTCTTATTTTTAGGCAGCCAAAAGAAAACATCCCCATTACTCAAATTCTGAATGAACTCAGCAACAAAATTGATAACCTGCAAGTGTGCAAGTTCAACATCAATTGTTCTGCAATCCTCGATGGAGCAATAAGGGAGTTCTGTTGGCTCTCCTATGACCCAACTAAGAAGATTTCCCTAAAGCTTTCCCGATGACAGGGGAACCACGGAAGAGGCTGTGGACCTTGGAGGCCCTCATAGAGAGTTTCTAAGCCAGCTGATGGAAGGACTGGTAGAGTCAGACATGTTTGAAGGACCAGAGGGACACCTCAGCTTTTCTCTCAGTTCCTCTGGTATGTATACCTGCATTTTTATAACACACATATATAAATGTATTTATTTATTTGATACAGCAGCTTGTACATTTTACCACTCATGGTTAAGAGTTTTGGCTAGTTTTTTCTGGGTTGTAGTTTTTCAAGACAGGATTACGTCCCATCATAATCAAAGCGTATCACTGATACCAATATAATGTAGCATCATTGTATTTCTAACATCACATTGAATCTTTCAGGTTATATAAAATTAGATTTTGGTTTAAATGTGGTCATTGTGGGTACAGACTGTCAAGGAAATGTTGTTCATTTTAATAAAATCAAAGAATGAAATCACCATCAGTTTAGCTAAATGTTACTACTGTTACTTCAGTGCTGCTTTTCTGATCAGTGAGTTAGGACTATCGCTATGCTGCCAGCTGTGTATTTTTAAAATGAAAAACGGTGCTGCTGTGCCTTCCCAGATATTTAACCATGTGCCATCACTGATTTAGTTTTTATCTTGTGTATGAACTTTTTCAGCTGTGTGAGAGGACAGGTATTTGATTGCTGGCAGAACAATTGCTGTCAGCCTGGTGCATGGAGGCCCCCCACCATGTTTCCTCTCGGGAACACTCTTTGCCTGCATAGCAGAGGAACTTGAGGCATGCAGGCCTGTGCTAGAGGACATCGCACACATGGAACTCTATTGGAAACTGAAAGAGGTTTGTTGATTTTATTTTGTTTTATTAGTATTAGGCTACTGTGCATGGTGCCTGGTTTGCTAAAGGCATGTTATCTTTATATTGAAACATCTCTCTCGTTCTTTCTCTTTGAGCTTTCTCAAGTCAAAACACTGGAGGAGTTCCAGCAGCTGACAGAACTGCTCACTGACTACATAGCCACTGCTGGCTGCTTGAGACATCTTACAAGCCTGGTTGACAAGGTCAAACTGTTTCAGGTGGTTCAGCGTCTCCGTGTACCATTGGAAAGGTATATTTTAGTATAGTTTTAATTCATGCTTATCAGCCTGTCAGAATTGAGCGTTGTAAAACATATTAAGGAGTAACTTGGAACCCAGACCCTATTACACTGGCAGCAAAAAAGATTTGCTCAGATTACTAACATACCATACTGTGACATTAGGCAATGTTTTTGTAAAAAAACACGAAAAAGCATTTGGCTGCAGTCAGGAAAGAGTGGACCATCCTTCTTGTGAAACCTGTTCAATTCTTTTGTCACTCAACTGTTAAAGGAGACTTATTATACTGCATTTCCAGGCCTACATTGTAGTTCTGTGACTCCTGTATGGCAGCTTTGCAGGATCTTATACTGACTCTTGATGAAGGCCTTCATTTCAGCCTCTGTCTGAAACAAGCTGTAGTTGCTCCTGTCTCTTTAAGGCCTCACCTCTCAAAGCCCACTGTCTTCTGATTGGCCAAGACCTGAAGCATGTTAGCAGGGTGTTGTTGTCACTGAGTGGTACAGACAGACTGAGCGTTGCTGTGGGAGCAAATGACCTTATATGGAATACCGGTCTGTCTGGCTCCGTATGTCGTAAGCTGTTGGTAGAAAAAGCAGTTCAAACAGAGCGTTCAGAACAGGAGGAAATCTGAGGTTTTTGCTCACAGGAATTTGTTTTAAATACTTCAACATCATTATTTGAAGCTTTGACCATGTTGAACATAAAATCCCAGAATTGTAACATTGTAGATAAGTTATAAAATAAGGAAAAGCATAATAGGTCTCCTTTAAGGGCACCTATCAAAAATGTAATTGCCTCATTTTTTAAAAATTGCTTTGTTCTCACTGAAGTAGACACAATAGATTCATTTGAACACATAAACACAAGTTTATTAATTATGTGGGTAATTTGTTTTGAATTACATTGTGGTCACTGTATTAAGAGGGGGAAATCTTAAAAGTCAATATTTTACACTTGATTGTAGCTTCAGCCATTAACCTTGTCCTGGTATTTTTCATTTGTCATCCATCAGAGGAAGAAGGACTGGCAAAGCTGGAACTGTCATTTGGTTTTCTCCTAAACCTTCAGTGGAATTCCAGCGAGGGAGATTCCAGATAGCAAACAGATTGTAAACTGTATTAGAATACCTCTTCATCAATCCTACAAGGTCTTCAAAAGTAACATGGACTTTGCAATACGAAAAATTCAGGGTTTTGGAATGAAGTAAACATTCTTATTGACAGTTCTTGGTGAAAACCATCAGTTCAGGTAGCCTAGTACTCACGGTACTGACATCTGTTACATGCAAATGTTTTTGTTTCACAGAGCTTACAGCAACTTTATTTAGAATATTGACATAGCAACTTGAATTTCGTAAACCTTAACTTGAATCTCTAAGGATATACATAGTTTAAATTTGTTTTTTGTTAGTACAGAGGGTCATGGAATGGTCATGGATTGTTACTTGATAAGTTGATATTTGTGATGCAGTCAGGTAAAGTGAGCAAAAGCCATTAGTTCAGTTATAGGGTACTACATTACATTTGGATTATTACCATTCTTCAGTGCTATTTTTATGTTTGTGCACTGTTGGTAAGTAAAGTCTACACAAACTGTTTTGTTTCAAGAACACTTACAAGTGTCATAAATAAATTTATTACAATGGTTACCATCCTCAGTAAACAGATCAACAACCTGGTTGATTTCCTCCATAGTGGTGTCATTTACATGAAAGTGGTTCTCAGGAATCTCAACATTGTTATTAAGTTGAAGCTCAGGCAAGGGTCCACCGTGATCAGTGACTGAAGGTTCAATAGCATCAAATATACGGGTCACAGCTGTGCTGTTCTGTCCAACATGGGTAATCACACCTCTATACCACAACTGTAAAGGTGTCATGCGTCTCTCAGTAGGTGCATGGTTATTCCATTGGTCTCTAAACTCCCTGGCAGCTCGTTGGTTCCGAGGCAAGTAAATATAGTGCAAACTAAACAAAACTCGTGAAGGTAATCCAAAGTTTCGAACTCCTTCCTGAAATAGTTGTAGTACACTGGAAGCCGTGTTGTTGTTGAGGCTTTAAAGGTATATAATTGTGCGACTTTATCCGTAGACACAACAGTGGAATACCATTGTTTTCCATCGATATGCCTGTCAAAACAAAAGAAAGGTAAGCTATGATGTGCACTGTGATGGAAAGTAACTAAGTACATTTACTCAGGGCCTACTGTACTTAAGTACAAATTGGTGTTGCAACGTTAGGCCTATACTACTACACTACACTTCAGAGAGAAATATGGTAGTTTTTACTTCACTATTTATCTGACAGCTTTATGTTACTTTTACTTTTTAGTTACTTTTCAGATTAACAATACAACATAAATACATTCATGTCATTAAGGCTTTTTTTCACAGGGGGAAATTAAGCTAGAGTTTTTGTTTCTTTATTTTAAAATACAATTAATGGTCCTCATCAGTCCGGTAAGCATGACGTCACTTGGGAATTCCCATTGTCTTTTCAGTCCCTTAGCCTTTATAATACCAAATTAAGACTGCAATCGCTTTATTGAAGACTAATCACACACTAGAAACATGATTTTCTGTTTATCAAAATATGGTAACTTACCACAACTCATTAGGGCCCCCTACATGGTAGATTCTACAACGAATGGCTTGACTACGACGAAAGCATCGTCCGATTGTGTCCATTTCAAGACTTGGCGGACCCTCCAACGCTGAACACGTATTCATCTGGAGCGAAGACTTCTGAAGACATATGTTTCTCCGGCATTAGGTGTATTGACTAAAATTTTCCCAACAATCGACATCAAACTGTCATCTGACAGTGGTGTGTAATCCTGTGATGGGATACTAAGACGTCTGTGACAAAATAAAGTTCGCTGATCGATCCCATACAGTGAAGCAATTCCTTGCCAATTCAATCCTAAATCCAAATGGTTGATCTGATCCACTGTCAAATTGTACCTTACGCAACCAGGAGCGCCACTTTGAATTGTCTGCGGGAATGATGATGCCTCTTTGGCGTGTCTGACATTGAGTTTGCTGTAGAATAACAATTAGTTGCCTGTGTAATGTCTCTAAGAGAGTGGTGCAGTCTCTTTACTGACACCCATCCATCCATCCAGCGTCAACCGCTTATCCTGCGTACAGGGTCGTGGGGGTGCTGGAGCTAATCCCAGCTGACATTGGGCGAAAGGCAGGGTACAACCTGGACAGGTTGCCAGTCCATCACAGGGCACGTGCCCATTTTCAATGTGTATATCCCCGTTTTCAGTGTGTGTAAGCATATGGTTGGTGCGTGTCTGTATTTCAATGGTTTCACCTAAGCAGCCTCTCATACAACCGCGACAGTTTCACAGGAATACGCCCGCTTGTTGACCACTTCACCACTTGCTACTGAACATAAACTGTTTATGCTGCTTCCTGATAAAGGAAAAATGTTTCTGCTGATACCTGTTCGGGAAAAAACAACAAGAAAATTGATTTATATATGTTAACTTGTTGCCCAGAAGGTACCTGTTATGGTGTTACGATCATGGCTGGACTCTGATGGTAACTTGTTTTAACAAGCTAGATAAAAGGTAATGCCCTGGCAGCGGCAAATAGCTTTGGTTTTATATTTGATTTGATTACATTAATGTTTAAGTTGAGATTTACAAGAAATTGGTATTTATATATAATATATGTAAATATGTATATAGTTATTTATTGTTGTTATTCTATTAGTTCCTTTAATTTATAGTGTATAATTATAATTTCCAATATTATTGCTTTTATTATTGCTGCTGCTATCATTACTATTATTATTGTTTTTGTTAGTTAGAATTTACAGTATTATTATTATTATTGTCATTTACTTAGTTATTCACTGATCCTTCTCTGTTCTGTTGCCACAACTACTGCCAACACCAACAAAATAATAAAATAAATAAAGATGTTAACCACTTTCACCACCACAAGTTATCTTTTTGGGGCTATACATTTACAAAGGTTTGATAATGATCACACACAATCACCATGTCATCTAAGAGGTCTACGTGCGTGAGTGGAATAACTTTTGTCAGAATTTTTTTTACATCGATCTAATACTCAGTGTGTACTCGCACATTAGTCAAATGCCTTGATGTTTGATCCATTTCTTGAACAGAGATCTGCTTTGGTAAACAATCTGCTAGTATCTCATCATTATGCCCTAGGTCATAAAATCCAGACTCGGATGTAATTCGTTTATTAAAAGCACACCCGCCCCAACCTGCCAACAGAAAAGTAATGGCTCCTGCAGGTGGAATGCCAACCAAATATTTAACAGTATTGTGGCTTTTATAAGTCAAGTACGTCTGGGCTCTGGAGGTTAAAGTTATGGGTCTGTTGATCAAAATTTCCGGGAAGTCAATAATGCACCTGCAACATTTATATTGAGGTTTAAAACATTTCGGCATATTCCTTAATGCTTGCTTGGCCACTTGACGAGAGGCTTTGAAGTCACAGACATAACAGGGAGCCAACTTCTCAAAATTTTAGACACATCACATTATGCGACATTAAGTCTGAAAGTAATATCCTTGTTGCTGAGCCTTAGTAGTTCACTTCTAAAAGATGCATTGTCACTAGGGATTCACAATATTGGATGGCTTATATTCAGTATGCCTTTTTGGCCGATGCCGATACCAATCTTTACTCATCTGTTTTTATTTCATTCAACAGAACACCCAGTCTCTCCTATACTATTTTTACCCTATTAGTTATTTGTTGTAGATACAGATACAAGCATTTGATTCTAAATTATCATTCATTTCACAAATGAAGACATAAAAAGTAAGTCAATTATTTCACTTGTTAAATTATATGCCAGTGTCACTTTTTATTTTTAAGTAAAACCTTTACAACCAAGCTCCATATATATATTATATTTCCTTACAATGTGCTTTAAAGCATAATAAATAAGGCTGAAAAAAACGTCAGCTGACTTAGTAGGCCAACTGATCCTACTCAAAACTGTGCAAACTAACAAAAACAAGCTCTATATATGATTTTCTGAGACAAAAATAGTCCTGTCACTACCCAGTGAAAACTGAGCTCTCTATTACAGAAATAAAAAATACAAATCTTCTAAAGGTTTTTAGAATGCTTCCCTGAGGCAATCCTGACAAAGTAGTTAACACTGTAGAGAAAATTACATTGGTCAAGTGTACATAATAAAAGCAGCTGTATTCTAGACTTATACTTCAGTCCTTAGGACCAACTTGAAAGTATGATGAAATTAAACACATGCTCTATCAATTGTATTGTGAGTCAAGGGTAGTCCTGTAACAAATCAGTGAATAACAGTGAGCTCTGTAATGCAAATGCGGTTCACTGTCAACACCTGTGCAGGGCGCACACAGGTATTTGTGTGCAGCAGGTGCAAGGGCAGGGAAACGGGCTTTGTTGCATTTCCAGTACTCCAATGGACTGTTGTTCCTGGGAATTGTTGGTTCGGCCAGATATGAGTTAACCTGTGAAGTAAGTAACAGTATAGTATACCGAAATATAAATTAGGCCTACTGATCTTTTTACTTTACGCTTTTAGGCATTAACAGCACACTAACATATTTTCTAAAATCAAATTATTAGTTGCACGTTCATTATAAATACACAGGCTGAATTTCGAGAAATGTTATAGACATTACCACAAATACCTCATTACAAAAGAGGACAACTACTGACATTTGCAGAATTATACATGAGAAAGTCGCATTATTTATTAGGATGCATAGCACAGTCCAAAGATTCTAAAAATAACCTACAGTTTGTTTGATGCTTACCTGTGATGTGACCTCGGTCTTTGCTTGCTCCTCAAACATGTCATTCTTCTCCAGAATTTCTTTATACATATCCAGCAGCAATCCTGTTCGGGCCCTCTTCTCTGGGGGATCCTGTGTGCTAGCATCTACATTGCCGCTCATTTCTTCCAAAACTCAGCCTCAGCAGAACTAATGTCTCTAGTCAGCTGCTCAAAGGGGGCGAGAAGTGTCTCTAGAATCCCCCACTGGTTTTCCATCACAGTTGCAGGAGCTCAAAATCAGCGGCTTATGCACCTAGTGCCCTCTTCTGCTCAACCAAGCATTGCATCATATAAAATGATGTATTCGTCAAAGGGCTTCACAAGACAATGCAGACATACAACAGAAACGATTTGGTTCAGAAATTATCTTGACAAAAAGAATGTGACATTAAATTACTGCCAAACATTCTCTGTACTTCGATGCATACAGAGAATGTATGGCGAGTAATAATGTGATCCCAGTGAGCAACTAAATAAGGTAAAAGTGACAAGATTTACTTCTTACGTTTTGCATCGCGATCACTCTGGGTTGAGTAGGAAAACACAGACAAGAAACAAGTCGGGACTATTGAAGTCCATGGATACCTCTCCTGTAGAAAAAAAGTTTATTTTGGTGATTGACAGTACAATATAGTGTAAACGATTAACTTTAGCCTGAATTTGCTATAACCACATTATTAGCCAAATACTAGGTAAACTTACGAGACTAGCTAAACATCAGGTTAACTAACTTGCAAGACAACGTAACAAAACTGAACCAAGGAAAGTTGGCTAGTAAGCTAGCTTGACTCAGACTTGTACAATATTCTATCTTATTGTTAGATAATACAACTCAATAATTACAATATTTAGCATTATTTTGTTGCAAGCGAAACCGAATGTTGCTGATTTAGCGCAACTTACCTGATATAAAGTGAGAACTGCAGAGTTGGGCATTTTTAATTAGGTTCTCTTTCCAGTCGATTCTTCTGAGGGCTTGTAACCAAAGACATCTACGGCTGTCCTTAAAAGGAGTCTGAGTTGATGGTATTCAGAAAAACTTTTGTTTACAGATTTTTGATTCTGGGTTTTTCCCGGTTCCTCACCACCACCATCACTACTACTACTAATACTACCACTACTACTATTACTACTACTACTACCACAACTAATACTACTATATTTACTCATACTCATTTTTAAGGTTTCAAAACATCTTGCCGAAGGACTGCAGTTGAAATTTAGCCAGTAGGCTAACAATGGCACATCTACAGTAATGTGTGCTGTCCTTATAAATAAATAAATAGAAAATAAAGAAAATAGAAATAGAAATATATTATTACTACTACTAGATCTTCTTCTTTGCCTTTGTCTTCTTCTAATTCCAGGCAGTGTTGATACCTTTATAGCACATTGCTTCCTCCCACAGGGCAAAAATATTTTCTCATTTATTATCCTATTTCCACATGATGCAGCTGGTTGCTGGTCATCATTTGCATTCGACATGCGAAGTTGAACCTGCATCTGTGTGACATAGTGTGATAATTACCCTATTATTAATTTGGTCTCTCTGGGCAAACACTTAGATTTACAAGCTTACACTGCATAATAAAGCTGTTGCCTTTCTTGCACATGAAGCCGAAGTGGTCACTTTAAATATGGCCAGGGGTTCAACTTCAGCAGAATTTAATCAGGTTTTGCTTTCAGCTGGGTCTGCACCACTGGTGTCTGACTTGTCCGTCTCCATCCTTCTTGTGATTTTAGTGCCAGTTTGTGTTGCTCATTATTAACTGCAATAGTTTCCAGGTTCCAGGTTTTTTTTGCTCAATAACAGATGTGATTTTAAATCAAATATATTTATGTAAAAGTAAGATTGCAGATTTTAAAGCCTACTTTAAAAAGTAAAAGTACACAGAAAACCTCTCTGTTACAGTAAAGCAAGTAATTCTAACTTATTACTTTCCACCTCTGAACAAGACGAATACTGTGTCTCAATTCGGGTACTTTCTTGAGAATACTAACATGCAGTACACGTACACTATGTACTTCATTGCTTAATGCGTTAATTTTGACAGGGTAGTGTTGTCTCAAATCAAACACTGCTGTGCACTAACCGGAAATGACTATCGCAAGATTGCACAATCCCCCCTCAGCACAGAGGCCGCCTGCAGAGCTCCAAAATTACAGAGTAACTACAGACCGCTGGCTGGCCTCGCTAGCTTCTCCCGTGGGTTGGCGCGAGCTTCCCCTGCCGCCACTTGCGGAGCTTCTCAATTCCGAAAACATTCAAGCACATTTTTGATCCGCCATCATTTTTCGGAAAACTGTCAATGTCAACCTCAAAACTTTTCAGAAGTGTTTTTAGTGATGAAATAGTGTCTAAAACTTGTAAAAGACATTCTGTTGTTGGCCTCTCTCTCTGCTGCTTCCCACTTCTCCCATGTTGTTGGTCCTGCCCCTTCCGCTACGTAGCTAAAATGGCGGTCATTGAAGTGTCCACCGTTCCACACTCAACTTTTTAGCTGTTATGAGTTCACCATCCGGGTACTCACAGTGCACTGCATTTTGCCATACTTCTTTGTGTGAACATACTTATGCCCTCAAAATAGTAAGTGTAAGTATGGAAGTGCGCAAATTGAGACAACATAAGACTCCACAGCTCTGTAAGGCTGTACTTAGGCACAGTGGTGCACTGAGCTAAATGCTAACATCAGCATGCTAACATGCTCAAACTGACAATGCTAAGATGCTGATGTTTAGCAGGTACAACGTTTACCATGTTCACCAGCATGTTAATTTACTAACCTTTTCTAATTAGCACTAAATACAAAGTACAGCTTAGGCTAATGAGAATGTCATTCATTTTGCGGCGATTTAATGTACTGGGTAAACTTTTCACACGATGATTGTGCTGATTCTTTTCATTCTATGAGGAACATAAATATTTGTACTAAATTTTACAGCGACCCATCCAATAGTTGTCGAGATTTATCATGACAAAATAAAAATGTCAGCTTCATGGATTCCCTTGCAAAAAGGACTGTGTCACAGTGGTACTTTCCTGTTAAACTAAAGGTTGAATAAAATAAAAACAATTCATCCTATGGGAGACGCCTGGACAAAATGCAGTCCCTGAAATGGTTGCCAAGATATAATGGTTGCAGGGCAAAAAATAAAAGCACTACATGTGGAAAGATTTTGAACTTTGGAAAAAATAAAAATTTTCAGTCTTTTAAAGAATCAAGGCCTTTAAAGCAAATCATTCTCTTTTTCAAATTGTCAAATTCTGTTGCCATACATTGTGTCATCATCTTTTCTCTAATTTACTGAAAGATAGAATTTTGGTCATTATATTCCTTTTTTAATCCTTTTGATATTTATCTCTTTCTCCGCTCTTCCTTCCAGTATATTTTTGGTTTCAATTCACTTCTGAAGCGCCGCCAGCCTTAATCCACATTCCATACACAAACACAGACACATGCACACTCTTTACGTAATGTGTCTTCTTTTGATCTGCATATGTGACAGTTTTAATAGTGTTGATTCTCAGGGCCTAAAAAACGTTTTGAACCATTCTTTTTGCACTGTGTATTTATGCTTTTCAGGGTCCTGTACACAACAGTAGCACTTACAATTAACCCTGGATATTAACTTAAGGTATATCTTGAGGCAATTATTGTACATTACAGTACAATGTCATGAACAACTATACTCCCCAAAGACAGTTAAGTCATCATGCTGCTTTAAAGTACAACATGAGTCATTCTCAATCTGCCTGACTAACCTACACGCATCTTTGCTTCTTCCTGTCTTTACTTTCATCTGTTTCTTCCTAAGATTTTCTTCATTCTGCACTTCTCTCCCAGTCCATCCATCTTTATACATGAAGTGGTAAAACCCTATTGTGTTTTTTCCTTGCTTCTGTCGCCAAGTGCTTGCTCATTTTGGGAACTGTTGGGTGTCTGTTATGAATATAACAAAGAGTACAGTCTAGACTTGCTCTATATGAAAAGTGCAATGAGATCATTTTTGTTATGGATTGGCACTAGGCCTATATGAAAAATTGAATTGAATATACCTGCATCTGTGTATGAGTGACTTTACTGTAACACTCCTCTTACCTCCACCAGATGTGGCATGGGGTTGAAGCCACACAGGTTACATACTTGGCTGTGACACTGTGTACAGGTGTTATAGTTGGATGGGTCAGAGCTGCCGATGTTCAGCTCTGTTTTACAAATAGGACAGTTCACTTTGGGCTTCACAGGCTCTGGAGCAGGTACAGGAGCCACCACAGGCTCGTGCTTCTGTTCCTGCAGATGAACAGGTGTTTGCTGATGTTGTTGTCCTTCCATTTGTTTTTGATGATGCGTGTGCGACTGTTGTTGCAGAATTCCTTGTTGATTGGGTATGGTCTTCTGCTTCTGGGTTGGTGCATGTGGTCCACCCATTGGGACAACTCCCATTTGGTTCGGCACATGAGGACCCCCCATTTGGCCAGGTGGATAAGGGCCTCCGATTTGGCTCGGGGCATGAGGGCCACCCATACCAAATGGTTTGGTGCCAGGGGCCCCTTGTTGCTGCCTGTTGTCAGGAGTTGCATTACTGAACTGCACCTTGCTTTGTGCAGGGTTTGGCTGGGTGGAGGCGGTGGGTAGAGGGTCAACACTGATCAGGGTACTAGCCTGATTGAGCAGCGATGCCCCAAAGCCAAACAGTTTGGTCAGGCCATCCTGGGCAGGAGGAGGTGCTTGACTCTGAGGCCTGTGGACTGGGGAGGAGCCAGTGCTTCTGGTCTGATCAAGGCGCCACTCTTTAGACTGGTACATTTGAGAACCAACACCCAAATCAGACTGGGAGCGTGCCTTGGTCAAGCCAGGCAGGGGTACAGCGCCAGTGTGGGGAATTCGAGGACCCCCAGGCTGGTTGGGGCCTCCTGTGAGACCTCTGACAGCTCCTGGAGCTCCTGAACCTCCCTGGGAGTACAGGTCAGACCTCATGCCCTGCTGAAAAGGCACTGTCTGAGTCTGGTGGCCACCGGGGACTGCGTGTCTCTGCAAGCCTGGGGAGGTATGAGGTTGAGTCTGGGGCCCTGGCTGAGTCGCAGGGTATGACTCGGGCTGAGATCGGGGATTCTGCTGGGACTGGGAGTAGGGATGTATCTCGCTGTAGGGCTGCTGCTGCTGCTGCTGCTGCTGCTGCTGCTGCTGCTGCTGCTGCTGGGTGGGCTGACTCTCTGCCAAACGTTTGGGCTGTGCTGCTGCTGGCTGTGTTGGCTGAGGTGCAGATTGCTGAGGCTGGACAATGTGTTTGGCTTGGTGGGAAGGCGAGTGAATCTGCTGTTGGCTCTTAGAGCGAGGCGTGGTCATATCAATGCCAAGAGCTCTCTGCATCTGACAATTCAGACACAGCCACTCCTGGACCTGCAAACAGAAAACAGACAGGTTTGATGTCATTTTCAACCTCTTAAAATCTATATTTCCTTGGAAAAATCACTTTAGTTTGTCTGTTTGACAATATCACACACATATTATGTATCAGCTTATTCCGACTCTTCATTGGAGCTATGTAATTACACTGAGTGAAATGTTTCAACCTAAAACTTTTGTTATGACTGTATCAATCCATGAAATGGACACATTCTAGATGTATTGATACATAATTCCTAACGTATTTGATATCTTTGGTATTTCCACTGAAATTTAAGAAATGTTTCTGTTGGTTTGAACAATGATTGGCAGCACAAGAGGTGTACGTGCTTGACTGCATCAGTAAGGTTAAAGAGGTAATGACCATTGTAAGTTTGCTTTAGTGATGTAAGACACATCTTCATGCTGAAACCAGGACAGTATAGATATAAACATATGATATGTAATCACTATGATTCACTAATTTTTTGAGATACTTTCACAAAATTGTAGCCTTTTTGGCAGGTACTCCATCCCTCTCACATTCATCCATCCTTGAATGCTCATGCTGCTGTTATTCTTCGGGCATTCTTCTTCGTTTGTTTTATTGGCAGGTGCAGTTTGAGTGATTGACGAGTGGTTACAGCTAATGTATTACATACATTGGGGGTGAATGTAGGAAACATATCAAATACAGCCAGCGGGGTTTTTTAATTTTCTTTTAGAAAGTTTAAAAATATGGGACATATATGAAAAAATATTTAAACAACAGCTGGAAAGAATGGTAAAATACGGGAGTCTTTCTAGCTTTACAGCATGATCCCATGTTCTGTTGACTTAGCGGCTACAGCCACTGCTAGAGCCTGACATCCTCCTTAAATATTTACTTTGTAGCTGTCTTTTATATACTCTTGCTTCTCTTCTCCCTGTTTTTTCTCTTCTTCATGTCCCCTCTATTTTCCCCCTTACACTTTCCATTTTTGTTGTTTCCCCTCTTTTTCCCCATTTTACTGTTCTCTCTTTGATCAGGTTGAAAAATGTCAGCCTTGTTCCTTGAAAAGCTGAAACTAATCCTCCCATGTTGTGTTGCCATAATTACATATGATGAAGATGGCGAGAGGAAGATGAAGAGAGATACATACTGAGAAAGAAAAGGGTAGCTGGATATTTGTTTTTAATCCTTTGGCCCTCTCCATTCCTCTGCTTTTTAAGCAACATCACAAGAGACACATCAAGGAATAGATAGAATAGGATAGAGCAAGGGATGGAGCGACAGGAAAGAGTAGGGATGAGATGGACAGGAAGCGAACAATAGAGGGAGAGGAGTCAGCTGTTTTAGAATCCAGGCAGCACTTCAGCTCTCATCAAGTCTTAATCAACAGCACAGCAGAACAGGATATCCACATCTTCTTCATTGTGGTTAAAACCAGTGACTCCTTTACAAACCTGAGTCCTGTTGCTAACAGGTGATGAAGAATCAAGTTGCGAAGGATTTGATTTTACCAGGCATAACACATATGTTACAAATATTTATAGAATAGGTTATATATATATATATATATATATATATGTTATGTAGTTACAATAAAAAGTAGCCTTGAAATTATTGCCATATTTGTGCTGTATCGGTATCCTGCAGCCTCAACTGTTTGCTGGTTATTAACAAAATAATTTGAGTGAACACAGTGCATACTGTTTAGTGTGAAGCATGTGTGACAGTAGGTTTAAAGGTGACCTATTAAGCTTTTCTGTATTTTCTGGCATATCTATAATGTTACAATGTCGGATGTTCATGTAAAATGTGGCCAAAGTTTAAAATGTTGTGGTAAACATATTTTAAAAAATCTCTGTGAGCCAAAATATCATATTTCTGTCAAACATGCAGCGTAGAACAACACGGCAGTCTTTTGTAGTTGAAGTTGTTCAATATGTTGTTAAGAAAGTGCCTTTCGGTTGTAAAGGTTATATATCGACAGGGACATTTTAGAGGACACACGCCACTCAATCACATTCACCATACAACTCTATGGGGAAAGCCTGTAATGGTAAAGATGGCGGTTATCCTGCCCCTCCCGCTAGAAAGCCAATCATCTGCTTTTAACAGCCAAAGTGGGAAACATATTTCAGCCAATTGTGTGGTTCTACTGACATATGGGTCTGTTTTATTTCTACTGCCCACGCATGGAAGTGGTGACGCATCCGTAGTAGAAGTAGAACCGGTCGGGAAAAACACTTTTCAAACCTTATTTTGGGGCAAAGTTGTCAAACTTTTACAGCGATTTTTATCAGATTTTAATGCTGATTCTATTCATGTAGTTTTTATGTCCCGGTGACCAGTGAAAGTGCATTCCTGGCTCTCTCCCCATTCATTCAGATAGGAGCCTGGTCTTGTTAGTCCAAAATAGCTGCCTGGAGGCGTTGCCAAGATAGCGGCCGAGTGGCATGACTTGCCTAAAAGGACTTTGGTATTGATAATCAAACTTAATGCCTTCTGAACCCAGTTTCATTGGATGTAGCAAGTTTTTAGGGAGCTAATGGTGATTTGCACATGAGCTAGCTGCACCAAGCAGAGGTGTCCTGCTGTAACCATTGTGGCTGCGGATTTTCTTGCTGTCCAACATTAAAGTCTGGATTGGATTCTGGCTCGAACATGTACATATGAGAATGTGCCATTTGTGTTTATATTGTAAACAATAGTTTGGGAAATAACAAACCGGTGTTTTGATAGTGTACACAGAAGCATGCATTCAAACACATTCAATCTAGCCTCTTCCACTTCCCCAGGGCACGCTTTAGGGTCTTGGCCAATCAGAAGACAGTAGGCTTATGGGGACAGGAGCATCTACAGCTTGTTTCAGACAGAGGCTGAAATTACGGCCTGCATGAAGTGCTAGAATGTTTTTATTTTTTACTTTGAGACATACAAAGCTACCATGCAGGAGTCACAAAACTACAATATAGAGCTTGAAATGCAGTAAAATAGAAACATTTTCAGCTGGAAGCGTTGTCTGTGCAATGGCATAATGCAATCAGGTGATATATGCGCCCTTAAAGCAGCAGCACAAAACTACACTTTTTGTTCATTGATTTCTCATTTCGTCTTTAACCAAGGACTCCCACTGAGACGTAATGGGGCTTTGCAGCATGTAACAACTGAAAATGTAACATCTGGCAGTTAATACAATAGCTAAATCGGGAGGAGAGTGCTACAAGTGAGTGGGTGGGGGAGAAGATTCTATAAAAGTCTATATTAAGCTTGGTGGTGAAACATTACCTCAATCAGATCTTTTTAATTAGTAGTTAATATAGCTTACTTGTCTAAGAACAATAAAATGTGCATTTGCTTTTTCACAACATGCTGACATGCCATAGTATGAAAGACACAGGTGTTGTTAATATGATTATGGAGAATATTTTTTGATTCAGACATCATTGATTTTATTATTTACACCTGGATATTCAAAGATCAGAATACAGAGTAAATTCACTTGATTTTTTAGTTTGCTGTTGACAATGCAAATCACAATGAAAAGATGGGAAAGAATAAAACAATTTGTGGTCCTAGAGACATTTTCAAAAACAAAGAATTAAATTATTATAATTAACCTTTTTTTCCCCTTCTTTCATGGTGTTATGCTAACATACATTTCTAGTATACTAACTGCTATAACATAAAATAAATTGGGGGACATTATTTCTGTTTGCAGATGGATAATAGAGATCACATAATAATGCGGACAACACCTTGTTTATTAAAAATAACATCATCTGACCATTCAAAACTGTCTCAGGCCTATTGCCCTGTCACATGATAGCTTTGATAATGTCTGTACCTCAAAGCATTAAAGTACAGGTCAAAAGTACTGACCTAAATTTTGTGTTAATCGGACAGACCTCTGTGGAGCTATGACATCACTTCCTGTTTTGACCGTAACCTACAGGAAGTTGTTTCTTTATAGGTTGGGCTTTTATTGGATCATCAAAATTATTTTAATAATGTTTTTATCATGATTTTTCTTTGCAAGAAATGGACGTACATCACAAGACGCAGCTCAATTCAGTGAACACGTGGAAATAAGAATGTGCAACATACTGTGTGGGAGATATACGCCAAAATGCATTTACCTTGATTAAAGCTCCACCTGACATCTGAGGTGTCTGCAGCAGTCTATACTAGACCTGTAATTTTCACTTACATGAAGTTTACAGTTTAGGCTGCAGTATGAATTACTTAAGGAAGAATAAAAATTAATTTCCAAATAATAAGTAGTGTGATTAACTATTACTGATTTCATGTGTTTTGAGTTTGTTACTATTGCTAACAAATTCAATTTTGCCAATGTAACTTTAAGAAAAGTAAGTTATGCTAAGCTAGTATCTGTGTTACTGTAAGTACAGGGGATTCTGTGGTTAACTATGACAGTGAAAAGTTCCTGTGCTTTAAGTTTCTTTTTACTCCTGCCTCAGGGCTGTACCACTCCAGGTAACATAGGCAGAGGGTATTCAGTGGTGCTTTCACTGTCTGATGGATTATAACCATGTCCTGAACTGGGGTCAGAGAGGCTGTGGTCATCATCTGAACGGTCTATTGGCTTGTTATACTGTTGGGCCTTCTACAGCCTCTACAGTGAGAATGTCTATCTCTACAGAGTTGGTAGACATGGAAGTCACACTCAATGCCCTCCTGCTGTTTTTTGGTCATCAATTGAATAGTCAATGAGCTCAGGAGCTCCACACGCCATAAGCCAAAAATTCTTAGACTAGCTGTCTATCTGCAGGCAGCTAAATTTAAAGAAATTTTAGGAAGTAATTCCATCAGCTTTTTATTCATTACCATGTCTCAATATAATGTGCTAATTTGCTAAATTTTTCTAATGCTAATTTCAGTCCTTCCCAAATTGATCAGATTGATAGTGCTTCAGGCTCACAGTGAATGACACTCGACTCTGTTGCCTCTCTAAAAAAGAAGATATAAAAAACAAAGACCGTTAGCTCCATGGCAAACACCAAAACTC